TGTGTGTGTGTGTGTGTGTGTGTGTGTGTGTGTCCGTCTCAATAAGAGACACTTTTATCTTTGAATAAATCTAATTAAATAAAAAGCTGTGTCCAGATGTTTCTGCTGGGAGTCAGTGGTTGTGACTCCTCCACAGCAGCAGAAGATCCAGATGTTCTGGTTCTGTCTAACAGAACTCCTCACATGTTTTAACCAGAGATAAACCCGTCAGTTTGTCATGGACCTTTCTTSTCCCAGCAGGACGTCAGCAGGACGTCACATGGAGCTCAGTCTGAGTTTGTCTTTCATCCAGCGTGTGCTGAGGAGAATCAGCACCTTTCCAGCCCCACAGAGAGCTTCTTTAAGGCCTAACAAACGCAGCCGATCAGTTTCCACGCAGACATAAACGTGACTGAAGCAGAGAATTCAGCCTCAGTCTGAGGATTCATTTCACTTTATTAGAAAAGCTTTAAAACATCTTCATGTCTCATCAAAGTAAAGTAAACTCGTCGTGGTGAAACTCAGTTTGTTCACAGSGGAAAGTTTTACAGCCTGTGTTTGGAGCAGATCTTATTTCCACTGCTGTCATGATGTCTGCAGACACAAACCAAACATCTGCCTCTCCTCCATCATGACACACTCTCCTGAGGTCGCAGCTRAACGTCGCTGGGCTTCGGCTCCTCTCCTCCTCGACCTCAACTATGAGCAGGAAGTGGAGTGTGGCTGCAGCTCGGCCCACCGCCTTCTATTCTTAGCCCGACACTTTCTGCTCCAAAACACTTTATTTTAGTTTTCCTCCAGTCTGAACTAATAAACTGCTGCCTGTGAGACAAAAACACATTAAACTCTCTTCTTTCAGTGTTTTACTGAAGCTCCTCCTGGTCTGACTGGTTTAAACACTTTATTTACATTTTGTTGTCAGATTAAACTGTTTGTTTTTAACATCTGGTTTTTAAGGTTTTAAATGAAAAACTGAACAATGAGCATCAAGACACAGAAGTTTTCTGTTGTGTTTGATACCATCAGGTTTCCTCGATGCTCTAATCAGATTTTATAATTTTAYGAAACTTTTCCACAAAAGAGAAAACATCAAATCATTTTCTGTGATTCTCTTTCCTTCGTGTTRAACTGAAACAAGATCAACTCTTAAACTGGTTTAAATCAAACTAAAAAGAAGAGCTGAAACTCAGACTGTTTCATATTTTCAGACTTTCTTTGTTGTTCTGATGAAGAAGAAATAAAATCCTTCAGCTGAAGGCAGAGAGAATAAAAGCAGCAGTTTTTTAATCCATGTCACAGCGCAGCATGTGTTGATGATAAATCTCCTCACAGATCAGGTTTCCTGTTAAAACCTGATCTTTTTCCCTGAACCCATGACTCCAGCCTTCACATGATGCGTCCACGCTGCGTCTGTCTGTCTGCAGATCAAACTGATGAGAAAACAGTTTGTTTCTGTCAAACATCCTGAGGTCAGATTGGATGTTTCACACTTTGTTTGATGCAGACGGCACCGTGCAGCCTGATGCTTCATCTCATCTAATGAAGATTAACTCTCCTCTGTTCAGTCACCTCCTGAGACCCGAGCCTTTTCTGGATGTGCATTTTTTCTTTCTCTAAGGTACGAAGCATTAGTAGGACCGTGTCATGGTACAGGAAGTGGTTTTTGCAACAAAAAAAGATGTCCTCATATGAGGACAGTGGGTCTCAAAATGTTGTGCTTTTTGAGGAATACCTAAGTATTTACCCTGCAAAACTTGAGAAACTTCATGAAAGCCTTTCTGGTGGTTTGATTTTAGTTATTTTGGCAACACACCAGCCAGCTGTTGACTAGAGCAAGATCAATGAAGTGCATCATCATCATCATCATCATCATCATCATCAACAACAACAATTTTCAGATTGCTCTTCAGTTTGAAGAAATGTGATGTAATTGTAGGACACTACAGACATTTGACCTGAACATCATTGGTAAAATTAATTGTTTGAACAAATGTATCAGTTGAAGAACTATTTATACTTGTGAACTCTTCTAAATATTTCCAGATTTGTTTAACAAAAATCTGTAACCAAATGTACTTTATGTAACTATTTACATTTATAAGCTCTTCTAAACATTTGCAGGTTTGTCCTATCTCGTGGCACAATTAATAATGCAATTATAGTCCCAATGTCCTCAAATGAGGACTTTATCTTTACTGACACTGTACTTTGCTTCAGTTGTAAAAACAAATTTTTTCCCAGTACTAGAAAATAGATGTACAATAGCCACAGAGCATTATTTATGTGATGACTGAGAGCAGAGTTGTTTAACGATCAAACACAAACCTTATTGAGTTTGTTGTGAGCAGTTGTTACATAGTCAAACATCTGGGTCTACAGTGCAACATCTTCATGCTGTGATGGGTGTGCATGTAGCTACTCTCTGTCTGAGCAGCTGGTTCCCCACTCTGGTTTACAGAAATCAAATTACTTTTAAAACAGTTAAAGGTCGTTGAGGCTCTTTGGTAGCAGTGTTTTTATTCTTCAACCTCCACATAAGTCACTGAGATCTTTGTTTAGTGAGTCAAAACTAAAAACATTTTGTCTTCATGACTGAAACTAGCAGCTTTTTACCGCCACCTGCTGACAGTTGTCCACTGCTCCTCTTGTTCGTCTCATTCAGTCGAAAGCTCCAGCTACAAGGTTCAGTTG